TACCCAGGCCTTCCATGTGCATCTCTGCAAACAACCCCCACACCTAAACTCATGCCTCAGAGGCAAAAGGAGGTAAAGATGAACCCCTAGAAGTCTAGTTTCTAGGGATCCTCTGCAGAGTCTGAAATTTCTGGCATCTCCAATTTTCACATTTCTACAAGTTTTGTGTCAATACATCTGTTTGTATTTCTATTAGCATAGGGCTCCTTTAAATTTTCCATCATTTGTGAAATCTGTTATCCCCTAGTTCTTTATACTGTGCTTGGCAGTCCTAGCTAAGGGACACATATTTGCAGTGTTTTGACACTCTGTTTCCTTTGCCTTCCATTTGCCTCTGATCGAAACTCTCTTTCAGCACCATTGATTCATTCTCCAGTAACACTTACTGAGCATCTACTATTTATGAGACTACAATACATGGAGACTACAGTTCATAGCTACCGCATCTATGGCTCCTACCGCAATGGGAGTTATCTTCGACAGGACAGAGAAATACAAAAGAAACAGAAACATATTGTGATGATTGGTAAGCTAAGGAGGGGGAACTCAGGATGTTAAGGGAAATGTAGAAAATGTCAAGTAATCTTAAAATAGGTAATGAGGAAAGATTTTCCAAGATCAAATGATCTGAAGAGCAAGCAGGGTCAGCCAGATAAAATATAAGGGATGGGGAGGCCAGGAATAGACTGCGTCTTGGAGATAGAGAGGATGCCTGCCATGCAAGCAGCAATTTGGAATGCCTGACTAGTATGACCGTAATAGAGTGCAGAGGAGGGGGGTGAAGGAAAGCAGAAAAAGAGAGAGCCTGAGCACATGCTGGAGGCATAATGAAGGGCCCCTTGTTAAGCCCTTGACAGCAGAAGGGGATAACAAAGTCACAGAAGAGCTGGGCATGGCAATCTCAGTCCTCAAGAGAAGCAGAGGCAAGAGATCCTCTGCAGAGTCAAATCCGGTCAGGTCAAGGTAGTCAGATTCTGCTGTGAAAGCAACAAGTGTAACAACTTCCACTTCATGCCCCTCCCCACCCCCAAGTTACAGGAAAGTTTAACACTTAAGAAGAATTGATTTAAAACTGCCTGAGGGTGGGGGAAGGGGGGAAGGAAGCCCAAGGGGCCTCAAAGTTTAGGAAGAACAAGGAGCAGCCAAGTCAAGCTGGAAGCCGGAGAGGTGGCCCTCCCTAGGGAAGAGCACACCAATTGGTTGTCCAGTGAGAAATCGTCAGCCCTGAGGACATAATATATACAGGTAAGATTATATAGACTCAACAGGCTATAGTTAGGAATAAATATTTATATACAAGTACATACATGCATGTAATAACAAGTAATGAAAAGAGAGGCCATGGATTTGAAGGCGAGCAAATGGTTCCAATGGAAGCTTGAAGGGAGGAAAGGGAAGGGAGAAACAATTAAATTACAATCTTGATTAAAAAAAAAGAATTGGTTTAGACCTGTTTTTTTCATAAAGTTTGATCAGTAACTTTACAATTCTATGCCTGGAAAAACAAGAAAGGAGTTATTAAGATTGAGGTAAGGAAAGGCATTAGCAAACTGTGGGGCCTCAAAATAACTGGAGTGAATCCCTATCTCATCTTCCTTTTAGAGACAACCTTTCCCATCATGATAATCTCTTTGTAGCTGGTTCCCTCCATCCCAGGCATTTCTCTAACTAATACCTCTGGGATTGTACCCTTTCCCAACAAAGTCTCACCCTTAAAGCACAGGAATCTTAAAGACTGATTATACTTGGGGCCTAGCTGACATTTCTAATGCTTTCCTAGTAAAGTGATATAGGTATGAATAATTTGCATTGGTATGGATTTTAAGGTCAATTTTGTTATATGTATATGTATTTCTGATATTGATTAAGGTATTGTGATTGTGTAGTTCATTTAAAAATGTACTGTATAATTAAGAAATATAGGTTGTTAATGGATAATCATCTATAATAGTAAAGCTTGTAGTCATGTTAGTTAGATTTTCTAGATATATAGAGATATATTTCAGATAGGCATTCTTCATATCTCTCAAAGGCTGCAGAATATGGCATTTAAAATATTTTAATAACTTAGGGCTTTTCATGACAATGAGACATGTCTGCTCCTGGCGGCACCAATCTACTTCGAGAGGAAGATGGGCATTGAAGAGGCTCCTTATGGAGTTTGATAGCCATTTGGGCAAGAAACTGTTCTTGCCTGGACTGTTGCATAAACTGGACACAAAGAACCCGCAGAGAGAGGACTGCTGAACTTGCCTAAAGGTGAGATGGTCTTTCGGGGTTCCTGACTCATGAAAGAGTCTGTGAGGCATTCTGCAGGACACAGCAGAAAGTGACTGAACTGTCTTTGGAATTTCCTGCTTGATGAAAATGTCTGCTGGATACTATGGGCCTGAAGGCTGAAGATGGATGCCCCAATGGTACAGAGGAACTTTGGGTGACTGTCCAGGCAGCGAGATGTCTCTGTCATTTCTAGAGTTTTGGACTTCTTGTTTACTTAGGTATTATTATATCCTTCTGGAGTCTTTGATGGAGTTGAAGAATAGATAGTTATAGTTTTCCTTAGTTATGATAAAAGATAAAATAGATATAAATATTGTAACTGTGATTCTTGCTTAATAACTGTTTTGCTATATGTAATTTTACTATGTTAAAGTAAAGCCTTTCTTTTTTGTTTAAACAGAAAAAGGGGAAGTGATGTGGGAGTGTCATATATCAATCTGTTGATTTCATTGGTTAAGCAATAAACAAACTGCTTAGCCCTCATAGGTTAAAACATAGGTGGGAGGAGTAAACAGAACAGAAGGCTGGGAGAAAGAAGCTGAGTGAGTTAGTCGCCATGATTCTCCCACTCCAGACAGACGTAGGCTAGAATCTCCCTGGTAAGCGCACCTCGTGGTGCTACATAGATTAATAGAAATGGGTTAAGAGGCTGAAACTAAGGGGCCAAGCAGTGTTTAAAAGAATACAGTTTCCGTGTAATTATTTCGGGTAAAGCTAGCCGGGTGGCGGGACACAGCCCAGCCCGCCACTCTTATTTCAACAGTAAAGACCACTATAGAAATTGTAAGCATTGCAGCTCAGCGGGAAATGGACCCTGGCAGTAGAGAACCAAGGAATACTAAATGTTACAGCTCAGATGGAAGAGTATTCTGGAAATTAGGGGCCCAGGAATACTGAGTGTTTCAGGGTCAGGGCATATTTCTTTCACTGGCTCTGATTCTAGGGTCCAAGTGTGTTTCTTTGGCTCTGGTTTCAGAGTCAGGGTGCATTTCCTTGGTTCTGGGTTCAGGGCTAAAGTTTTCCTTTCACTGACTTGGGTCTCAGAGCCAGGGTGGGTTTCTTTCACTGACTCTGGTTCCAGGGCCAGGGTGGGTTTCTTTAACTGGCCCTTTTGCCCCACAAAAGTGAAATGAATCCAACAAAGAAGTGGAGAGGGCTCATGGGTGGGCTAACGATCATAAACAAAGAGAGCATTGGTTCACTTGATCATTTACTGAGAAACTCTTTGCTTGAGTTTTTTCCCTCTCAGCTTGACATAATGACACCATCCAAGCTTTCCAGAGTCCAACCTCTTAGGCAAGGAGTGACACACTTTTTTGGTAATGCCAATGGCTAAAGCAAGGAAATAAATATTTATACCCTGACAAACAGTTACTACATGAGTGTGGTGATATTTTGTTTGTAATTTCACAAATAAAGCTTACCTGAACATCAGAGTGCAGACCTAAATTACTAGTTAGCCAAAGAGGTGGACACATCTTTAATCCCAGCACCTGGGAAACAGGGGCAGATGGATTCTCTGTGAGTTCAAGGCCCAGCCTGGGCTGCACAAAATTGATCCAGTCTAAAAGAGAAAGAGTGGGGTGGTGGAGGTTCATACCTTTAATCCCAGTACTTGGCGGGGGAAGGGGGGAGGGGGGTGTCACATGCCTTTAATCCCAGCACTAGAGAGGTGGAGACAGGAAGGGATATGGCTGGGCAGAGAGAGGATTATAAGGCGGGAGGAGACAGGAGCTCAGAGCAGTCTGAGGATTCATAGAGACGGATGCAGCCTGAGGGTTAGCAGAGACAGGATCACCGATTGGGTCTGAGCATTGGTAGAGGTAAGAACTCTTTAGTGACTGATTGCTCTGCTTCTCCGATCTTCAGCATTAACCCCGGTATCTGACTCTAGGTTTTTATTATTAATACTGATTAGAATTCGCGGTCCAGATGGGAGCATTATCTATCTTTGCCACATATTTAGACCAGGTGTTCCTTTTGTGATAAGAAGCTGGGATGATGCCCTTCTGGCTTTCTGGACAGGGTGTGTATTGGGGGGAAGCCGGGGCGGCAGTGTACATACTATTGCTTCTGAAGAGGACAACGGTCTTTTCTCAAGCATTTCTCTCTTGCCAAATGTTTGGGCTAAATTTATGTTAAAATCAAAAGCAAGCAGACCTACCAACTGAGACAATTGATGATGCACAGCTTTCCAACTCTAAGAACGTTCTCCTGGTATGTGATTTAATGTCGTTTCTGGAAAAACAAAAAACGATGCCACAAGAATGTTATTAGTAGGAGAGGGCTCACAAGAAATGTTTACAATGTAGACATTGCGTTAGAGACTGTAAGCAGAACGCACTAGCTTTTCCTTTTCTTGCTTCCATCTGACCCTGGAACACGGTGACAAGGACATTTTTTTTTTTTTAACCTCAGGCCAAGTCCAGAGACAAAGACGATACATTATTATTGCATTTCAATTCTCTTCACCACTGTTTCCTTAAAGGATTTATAATCAGGCTAGGGCAGTGGTTTCCAAAGTAGGAAAGGTATTCTCTTTCCAAAGCGGATCTCATTTTCCCTTCCTGTTCTATAACTAAGATTTTTTTCCCCAAAAAAATGTTCTTGTCTTTGTCTTTACCTGCGGCTTGTAAGAAAAGTCCTCATTGCCACTCCTCTTCCAGCCTCGCGGGAAAGCTTTCTCGGGAGGGTCAGCTAGGAAAGGACAGCGTGGGAAACCGGAGGAAGCAGCCGCCGACCAGCCAGTCCCCGCCCAGCGCGTTTGGGTTAGCGGTGCGGCCCCTTTAAGAGCAGGCCACGTCCCCGCCCTCCTCCTGGCGGGGCCGGCGGTCGGTGGCGGCCGCTACGGTGCTGACAAGATGGCGGCTGGCGGAGCTGTTCCTGCGGCGCCCGAGTGCCGGCTTCTGCCCTACGCGCTGCACAAGTGGAGCTCCTTCTCCTCCACCTACCTTCCCGAGTAAGTGCGGGGCCCCGCGCTCGAGCTGTCGGCGCTGCTCGGCGGGAGCGCGGTCGGGCCGAGCGTGCGGTGGAGGGCAGCGGAGCCCAGAGGCCCAGGCGGGGCCTGTGAGGGGGACGCGCGGCCTCCGGAGCAGAGCGTCTCTGCGCGGCGGCCGAGAGCTCCGGCCTGGCGGGCCGAGGCTGGGATGAGGGCCCGGGGAGCGAGCTCGGGGCGGCGGCGAGGGAGTTGAGATGGAGCGGGGCTCGGGATCCAGCGGGCGTGCGGGCGTGCGAGCCGCCCCCGCCGTCAGAGGTGGCCGGGGCGTCGGGGGCCGGGCCCTTCCAGGGCGCCTCGGCCCGTGCAGCCGCGGAGTTCCGGAGCCCGCATTAAAAGTGCTTAGCTCTGCCCGGGCGGTGGGAGAAGTTAGGGAGTCCATCTGCATCCTGGCAGGAACTTGGAGGGCTGGCAGAGGGGTGTCTTTGCTGTGGGGGCTGGAAGTTCGGGGGAAGCTAAGGAAGGAGGGCAGGTCTGGGGGCGTGCTGCTCGCCTTGGGGAACTACCCTCTCAGCAGAAAGGGCTTCACGAGCAAAACAGGGAACCTATGTATTTTTCTGTTGCTGTACAAATAAAATGACTGCATCTCGGGAGTGCACTGAACAATGACCCCCTCCCCCATTTATATTTTACAATCCCTCACATTTGTCCAGAGGTAGCGTCTCAGGCAGAACTCTCAAAGCGAAGCTGCCAGTAGAAGAATCTTCCTAGACTGCCAGCCTGCTCTCCTACTCACCAGGTCAAGGGTTGCCAATGAGACATTGTAGCCATGGCCCAGCGCAGGCTGCTGACCTGTGGTCTCATCTGGCCGGTTGTGGCCTGGTGATGCCTGCTACATGGCCACATCCCCGATTGATGTTGGAACCCAGCTTTTAATTTGAGGGTGAGCTAGATCAACACTAACCTTCAGTTGAAGTTGCCATGTGGCCGTAGGTACCAGAACCTCTGTTTTGGTTTGCTTTTTGTTTTGGCTAAGTCTTCTTTGACTCCGAAGCTACTTCACATTTTTCTGGGTCTAGGTTAAAGAGTTGGTGGCGTTCCACTACCTCGAATGGCGTTTTTCTTTTTCTGATCTTGAGGGAGACTACCTACAGATTGGTTGGCTGCCCTTCCTTTAAACTTCTGGTGTAGGCACGAGCCTTGGAAATCCCAAATCCCATTTGAGTTACGTGTTTCGTATGGGCACGTTAAGGAAGAAAGCATTTCTTTAGAGTTGATCTGGTGGGATAGTGACTTTAATCAGATGTTGATTTGGAGTGGACGGAACCTGCTGTTGCAGTTAAAATGTAACTGGGAGAAATCCATCGCTATAGGTTTCTTAAGGCCGTTGGGAAAATAGTATGCATATATAACTTGTACTCTCGTTTAGTGTATCTTGTTTAATTTTAGTGACATTTTAAAAATGTAGTATAGTTTCTTATTTTAAAGCACCGTAGAGTTTAGTAATCTGAAAACTTTGTTTTGAAGGAGAGTGGTTGAGTGTTAGGCGGCTTGAGATTGAGAATTTTGTCAGGCTAGTTGGTGTGTGCCTACTTTAATTATAAAATTATTGGTTCTGAATTTATGTTAGTAAGCATGACTGTTAAAACTTTGTATGATGAGAAGTTTAAGAAAGGAATTGACTTTTTTGAGATGGGGTCTAAATGACCTCCAATGGGGTGAGACAGTAAAAGGTATTACGTGATGTCTTAAGCAGGTGCAAATTTTTTTTTTAAGTGTAGCCAACCATTTGTTGAAATTGTTCGCAAAACAGCAAATATTTATTGACAGAAATCTAGGCATTTTGGGGGTGGTGAGATCTTATGTCTTTCATATGCCAGTCTGTATTATGAATACTTCAAGTGTTTAAACTCATTTAATCCTTAACAGTTTTTTAAAGACTCTCAAAAAGCTGAGCCGTGTAGGAGATGGTTGTAATGCAAGCTCTTAGGAAGCAGAAGCAGGAGAATCAGAAGTTTACCGTCATCCTCAGTTACATAGTAAAGTTAAGGTCAACCTGGGCTGTCTGTGTGTGAGACCTGTGTTGTCCCTATCTCCCCCCCCGCCCCCCCCAGATCTCCATTTTCCAGATGTGGAAATAGACATGGAAAGGCCATTCACCTACGTGAGGCTAGACCCTAACCACTGCTTCTTTACTGCTTTTATACAGATGTTTGTATGAGGAATCATAGAAAGAATTCTTCAAGTAAAGGCATTTGTATTTTAGTTAGTTGTTTAAAGACATGTAAAGGTCTAGAGAGTGTTTTCTGTACAGGCTTGAGGACCCAAGTTCAAATCATAGCATGGACAGATTCGTATGGCAAGTCTGTCACCCTATTGCTCTTGGTAGGGTAGAGACTGGAAGAACCCTGAGGCTGAGTCCCAACCTACTTCTAGTTCTAGGTTCAGTGAGAGACTCTGACTTTAAGGAACAGGGTGGAGTGTGATAGGGTAGGGTACTTTATGTCCACCTGGCCTCTCTGGCACACACACTTTTCTGTGCATATATACCACGTGCATAGGACTGCCCCACCCCCCACACCGTGAAGTCACGGAAGAATTCCAATCTCAGGTTTCTTTCTAGAAAGCCATTTCTCCTTTAACTCTTAAGGTTGATTTGAACCTTAAAATGTTAAAACAAGTCTAGTTAAAGATAGCACTTTTTTTAAAAAAAAAACTTGGAAACTAATATTGGCCTTTTATTTTCCAGTGTGTTTAATTTGCTTGTATTTTACCTGTTTCTAAAATTTATACCTAATTTGAGAACTAAAGGAGGTACATGTAAGTGATCATTGGTAGAATTGAACATACTACATGTAAAAACATTTTATAGTGATCCCTATTCTTATATGTTTATTGTTGTAGGTTGTGATAATGTTGGCTATAGTTACTCACTGTCCCTGAGATGCTTTTTTTCATATAGTTTTGTTTAATCTTAAGCACAAACCTGCAACGAGTTTCCTGTGTTTTGCAGATGACAAAGCTGAGACAGTATGTAAGCCCACACCATACAGCTTTACAGAGGCTTGGCAAGCTCTTCTTCAAGCCCACTATTCACTGGCTCTACCAATAACAAGCAGTTATTGTCTTCCGTTCTCTCCCAAGCAGTTAGATGAGTTCCTAGACTTAATCTCCACCCAAACACCAAGATGAATGTGATACGTGTGTTACAGCTAGGGAACCTGAGATATGGAGGTTACCCTGCTCAGCTCTGAGGAGGACTCTTGTCCTGGGCTCTCTCGACTTCCCTAACAAGTTCCTTTAGCTGCTTCAGTATGCAATGCGATTGTTCTGTGCCTGCAGACAAAACTTGCTCTTACGTTAGAACAGCAAGGGGTATTTTATATTGGTATTTATGGTTTTGCTATGAAAACTGAGTCTTTAAAGCTGACTTTACATCTTCGATAATTCCATTGATGGGGAATAATTCTCAATTTTATTTTATTTGAATGAATTAAATAATTTTAATAGTAACATTTGGTTAGGATAGACGAATTTATTTCAGCTCAACTAATTAAAAATTTTCACATTTAAAAATAAATAGGTGTTTTGTTCTCATTGCAGAAATGGAAAAGGTTTGTAGTTAGAATAGTTTTTAAATATCCACAGAAACAAATGTAAATTACCCTAATCCCCCCCATGCAGAGATTCCTGCCCATCCTTCAGATACATGATTCCAGGTCTGTCATGCCTGCTTATCTTTTCAGCTTAGTATTTAATGTCCTTTGTTTGCTCTTTAGTATACTTAAGTAAGTATAGCTGAGTATTTCTAATTGAAAACCCTGAAATCTGAAACTTTTGAGCATCTATATTTTGGATTTTAGAGCATATCGATTTGGGGACAATTTGGATTTTTAATTTCTGTATTAGAGATTCTTAGTCATCAAAGTCCAAAATTTAAAGAACTCTAAAATCAGAGAGAGATATTCTGTTCCAGTCATTTTGGTTAAGGGATGCTCATTTTATATAACAGACATTTTCCTATGAGATTGAATATTCTTTTTTTCACTTGCATGGATACATTTATATTCTAGACAATGATATTTAATTGGTTTCCTATTATTGGGGCATTTAACCTTTTTTTTACTTTTATTTTATTTTTGCTTTTGCTATTCTTTGGTCACTATGAATAGTGAGATTCTTTGTCTGATAATTTTTTTTAAAGATAGAGCCTTATGTAGCTTAGTCAGTCTTTCAGCTTGCATTTTAGCTGAGCTTGTTTCATAGCCCAGTCAACCTTGAACTTGCTGTGTAACTGTTTGTCTTTGAACCTCCTGCCTTTTACTCCCAGTTGCTGGGCTTACAAGATGCACCACCACACCTGGCACTGATGAGGCAGAAAAAAAGGAAACTCCTTAGTTCTGAGTTCCTAGGTGTTGAACAGCTAGATTAAAGGCACTTTAAGCAAGACTATTTGCTGATCTCTGTAGACTGTTGAATTCTGGGTACCTGGGCTAGGTCATAAACATTCTTGGCAATTTAGAATCACATTGTTTCTGTTTTTAATTTTGTTTGTTTTTGTTTTATTTTGTTTTGAGGCAGGGTCTCACTATGTAGCTCTGGCTGTTGTGGAACTCACTATGTAGACCAGGCTGGCCTCCAACCCATAGAGATCGTCCTGCCTCTTCCTCCCTAGTGTTAGTACTAAAGGTGAACATCAACATGCCCAGCTTCATTTGTTTTCTGAAACAAGGTCTCACTCTCTAACCCAGGCTGGCATAGAATTTACTATATAATCCAGGCTGACCTTCTATTTGAGCCAACATTCTTGCCTTAGCCTTTAACTCTTGGGAAGCAGGGGCAGGTAGATCTCTGTAAGTCTGAAGCCAGCTAGATGAGATCCTGTCTATGAAAAAAAATGTAGAGAAACAAATGGCTCTAATATTTGCATTAACTTTTTGGGCATGATACAGGAAGTTCTTGATGTTTCATATGCAGATAATATGTATTTCAATGCTTTATAACTATTCAATTCTGCTACATTT